GGCTTATGGAAGAACAGCCGTGCCTTAAGAACACAAGGTAGAAGTTACAATCAAAATAGAAACAAATTATAATGTCTTCCTCTAATTAAGAACTGAGGTTTATGGCTATACTTTATTAAAACAAATATTCAAGAAATTTAACAAACTCATGGTAAAATAAATATAGGTTAGATTTACATACCATGCCTAACCTCTGCTGTTCTCCAAGAGAGAGAATGTCTTCCCAGTTTAGATTTGCATCCCAGCCTCTGTTGTCTCTTTCTAGAAGATAATTCAACCGAACATTCTCTAGGATAACTTGCAAGTGTTCGTCCAACAACTTTCTAGGGTCTTGGCTTTCACCTGAACAAGCAAAATTACAAGGATCAGCACTATAATATAGGCCCGAAGAGGAACCCTTTTAAAAAGATTAAAAAATAAAATGTTATTGTTTCACAAGAGAAGATGAAAAGAAAATACGTTCCAAAATAAAATTACAGAAAGGAGAAATCTTCAATTCTGTCAACATGACTAAGATCTAACTTATTTCATGAATTGATACAACTATATGAAAATTCAGAATGTCAGCTAGTAGTGATCAATCAAAAGCAAAGCACGAAGCACCATTTTAAACATTATTTTAGTCAAATGAACAGCTCTGGCTAATATGCATAGTCATGTAGCATAATTTTTTATCCACAAGGGTATTCTGGATCCTGTGTTATTTTATGAACCCAATATACCTTTTCCGTACATCTTCAATGCTCTCGACTCTGCTTCCTCACGCGACAGTGGGTATATAATTTGATCCCGTAATGTTCCCAAGCATGTGTAAGGCCGCTGAGGAACATAAAAGATACTACAACCTGATCCAGCCTCTTGATCCACGTCATCAGATGGTCGAGAGAGTCTTCCACTCGCAAATGGCCAAAGTCCTCTAAGAACTCGGAAAATGGAACTTTTCCCACTTCCATTTGGACCTTTTGAAATATAACACACATTATTTAAATTCTAACCACAAGAAATTTTACTCTTCTAAAAAGTACAACTATACAAACCAGTAACAAGCAGGCTTCTGCCAAGCTCAATATCACATGTCAACTCTCTGGCCAACATCTTCTGGGCAGGGGTTACAATATCAACCTTAGAAAAGGAAATAGCTTTATTGGCCTTATAATCCCTCATTCGAAGTGTAATATTGCCATTGATAGAGTCGCCTGTATCGTTGAGATATGGTTAACACATGATGACTGACTGATGAACTATTATGTAGATTTATTGCTGTAAAAATAGCAAGTTATTATCACTAAACTAATAATGATGAAGTACCAGACTGTGCTGCATCCAGAAGTTCTTCAAGCTCAAAAATCCTATTAATACCACCAGAAAGCTCTACAAACTTTCTGTTCAATTCAAGAATGTCGCCAAAAGCTAAAAAGCTTTGAGAAACAACAGATGCTAAGAACCTCAATGCATGTGCCAGCTCACCTGTAAGATAGTACAGTGTATGTCAGTAAGGGGAAGGCAATTGATAAAGAGAGTAACTGAGATCGGTCCAACAATCCTACCCTGAGTACTTATTGAAGCTCGGTCTCCCTTATGTTCCATAGCATATAATAAGCTCAGCAACCAAGTCACATTGTGCGGGAGTTGCTTCGTGATGAAATCATCCAGTATACCAAACAGCCACTTCTTTTTTAGGAGGTATTTGGAGTGGGAGAGAAGCTCCCCAAATCTTGATTCAACCATCTGCACAAAGTTAAGATAGTAAAATTTACAGCATGTAATATTCAATTCAAAACAGTAAGGTAAATAAAAATAAATGAAGCATATTTTCCTTTTAAGCCCAGAATAAAATATCATGCACCATAATAGAGCCTTACATCATCAAATAAATTTTAAAACACCAACCATGCAAAAGTTGTGCAATTAGGGTTAGCTTGTTCAAGGACGCGGAAAATGAGATGACAAAAAGTTAAGAGTAGAGTGAAAAGATAAAGGAATGGAATGGTCTTGATTTTCACTCATTGTTGCCTCGTAGAGCCGTGCTATGGTGTATCCAAAGTTTGAAGGATTTAGTGCAAATAAGTTGCACCTACTATAAGTCATTCCACAAATTGATTGTGCTGAGCAAGTGTGAAGTAATTTTCATTCTAAAGTTTGCGCAGTATAAAATAAGAACACCCTTAAAGTAAAGATATTAAACACTGCATAGATTGGATGCTCACAGCTTTTTCTCGAGCTCCACCTCCAAAGAAAGCAACAGATTCAGCATGAGTACAAAGTCTTTCATGCATGAACCTAGCAGAAGAATAAAGTGAGAAGGTCAGAATAATTTAAATAGCACACATTATTTGTCGAGTGTTACGAGAGAGGCAGCAGAAGCTATAACAGATTTACCTAAAGATTCCTTCAAGTTGTTGCTCTTGGCTCATCATATCACCAAAATCAGGAGTAACAGTTCTTAAAAATCCAAGACCAAGTAACATGTAGGCATAGAGTATGGCAACACCCCTCTTACCTGTTAACAGCTTCATTCTCCAAGTGAACCTTAAGACAAATAATAGTTAGGAAAATCAATAGAAAAAAGAACAAGTATCAAATATGTTCAAGTGGTAGTAAAATACATGCTACTAGTAAAATATAACAATTCAATTTTATGAACGAGGTTCTCACCACAAAATATCCACAGATGGCTTTACCAATCCAGTGACCAATCCAGACAAGTCCAACGTTAACTTCTCCAAGTCTTGAGTTATCCTTTGATCGGCGTCAATATTTTTTCTTGCCATGTGAAAGACCTATAAATATTATGTATGTAAAAAGTTGAAACCGAATCAGAGATATATATGCCTGAGGAGTTTTAGAGAGAAATGAAAGATTCTAAAGAATCATAATATAACAAAGTAAAAATCATACTTTTCATCCCTAATAGTTAAACCTAGTCAAGGACTCAATCCCAAACAATAACTTAGAAACTATTTTATATGTGGCAGCTTTTAAGATTCTTAATGGACCTTTCAGATACTTGTGATTTAATAAATTTAGGCTTAGACAACTTTTTTAGTTCCCATTAAATACGCTTTCTTGGCTTTTAATAGAGTAATACAGAAAGTGTATATTATGGGAACTAAATATTATATGTAGTTATTATTGTTTGACTTTATTTCCTTACAGACTCACTCAACATGGAGTAAATATTATAGGAACTAAAGTCAAACAACAATAACCAAAAGAAAAAAATTCTATCAATTATTTTTTTGTAGGGACTAAAACCTAAGAAGCTGCATATTACAAGAACTAAAATTTATTTTAGGTATTGTTTAATTCTTGAGTAAGGTATTTTATTTTCCCAGTTAGCAGAAAGAAGATTTCTACTTAAGGGGTGAGTATCTAATATTCTCAGAAAATGAGTAAAACAGAACATAAAACTAATATTTCACCCACTCCTCGCTAATATCTACCCACCCTACCTAATGCCCATGCTCTTTTTCCTCTAAAAGAACACCAAACCAATAGTAGTGTATTTCTCTGGTAAAAAGTAAATCATACCCTTTCCTCAGCTATTTGATGTATTCCCAAAAATTAATAACCATCAAGTCTCATGAACATTGATGTATAGTCTTAACACCAAACCATATAAAACCCTGTTTTCCAGTTTCCAGGGTTATCATTCCCGTGGTGCATATGATGGAAATGTCATATTTCGCATACCCAATCACCCCTTGGTGTGATTAGCAGAAGTCAAGCAAAGCATAATTGTATTGCCTATATGGCAGCTTCTTCAAAAGGAAGCCATGACTAAAATTTCAGCATAATTGTATTCACCATAAAACTTTCCCTTGAATACTTCTATCTACTGTGGGAGAAGGAAATCCATTGATACAAACTTAATAATTACAGGGAAATAGCATATCGTAGTAGTCAAGGAACTGAAAATTGAGTTAATTTTGAAGGGATTAAGTGTAAAATAAATAGTTAATTGGAAGACAATATTATTTCATGAAAAAGTTCCATGTAAAATAGTACAAAATGTATTCAATGATGACTGGTCAGATAACTAATCATTCCTGCTTACGTTGAAGAATTTGGGAAAAGAAAACAATAAGTGAACAATTCATATTCAATTACCTTGTAGAATGCATTGTTTCTCAAGTAGTTTTCTAATAGATGTTGTGTCAAACGGATCCGCCACCCCAGGGCCAGCCTGGCTGTCAAGTGCCTGAAGAACAGGAAATTTGAAAGGTTTGTAAGGTCAGCAAGTTTACTCCCCCAGCGTGATTCAATGCTTTAGAATCTGTTTAACTCTCTCTTTCTCCCTCTCCCCTTATACATAAATACACACACTATTATATATATAAGAAATATTCCATTAAATATAAACACCTTCGACATATAACTATTTTTTTATCAAATTTCACCTACAACCGCATGTACACCAGCTATTGTTGGAAGATACAATAAATGGATTCGTAATAATTACCTTATAGAAGGAGCAATGAAAGCAGATGCAGCACTTTGAAGAACACTTAAACCAATTAACCGAATAAAGGAAGCTTTATCCTGCTCCAAAACAAACTTCACAGTGGTACCTGAACATAATTTTTCATTTAACATTTTACGCAAGAATTTTCAGAATATTGAATAGTAAAAAATAAGATAAACTACCATTTAGTGATGCAATACGATCTGAGACCCATGTTCTTGAAACGACAAGAAAAGCAACGGCAAGCAGTTGTGCACCTTGTTTATCAAGTACAGTGGGTACCTGAAACAAAGCAGTTCCACATAAGACAAATGTGCCTAAAATATATATATATATATATATATATATATATATATATATATATATATATATATATATATTGTAGTTATAGATCAATCAAAGTACATTCTATATTCTATAAGAGTGTTTTGGTCATGGTATGTCACAAAAGAAATGATGCACAAACAGCCATGTATATGCATTCACTTCATCCCACCACTGCCATTGCAGTCACCACTTACCACCATAATCACTGTCACTGACCACCACTCAATCGACTACCACCATTGTCCCTATCAACACCACTGTTGATCAAATATTTTAACTCAAACCAGATATAAGTAACCTTATTCACAACCTCTAATTTGAGGTGCCAAAACGGAGTAATCTCATACTATTTATTTGTACAACCCAAACAAACATGAGATAATAATTCTAAACCAAATCCAATTCTGAAAAAGTTAGAATTGAAATTGGAACTCTATGGGCTAAATGGACACCCTTATTCCTGCTAAAAAAAAATCTTCAAACATGCAGATAAGCCATCTATGGACATCATCCAATGATTTAAGATTTTGAAAGTGTGGCCTCTGCACAATTCCTCAAGAAGCTGCCAAGTCATATTCATGGGTTTCATTATTATGTTATTTATGACAAAAAAAATAGAAATTTTAAATTATTTGTACTTTCTCCTTTCTTATATCCTTGTCTCTTCTCTCATTAAATATTCAAAATTAGTTAATGTTTGGTATTAAAATTTCAACTTTATATATATATATATATATATATATATATATATATATATATATATATATATATGTGGATATTACCCTATCCAAACTAGGAATCTGAAATGTAAGAAGTTTGAATTGATTTATCAAAACAAAACATTTTAAAATGTAGGAGATTTAAATCAAAGATATTTAAATTTATAGCATTTCAAATTCATTGAAATTTTAAAATTCTTCATTGAAACACAAGCTAAAGGCATCAGAATAAATCACTGTGATAGAAGTTGTGAAAATATAGAGTATCCTACTACACACACAAATGGGTAAAAAGTCTTATGAGTGCATATTACAGTAGGAACTCACCAATACTTTGCACATGGCAGCTACTCTCAGCGGCAATATCCTTGTATTACAACGGAGTTGGGGAACAACAGATGGTGAATTTGTATGATTCATAGATGGAGATGATGATATCACCTCTGAAAAATACAACTGTGCCTTTGGATTTGAGAAAGTAGAATCCTAGAGAAAAAGTTGTCGATATCTTTACAATCTATGTAAAACAAGAATAATGAAGGCAACGAAAACCAAATCAGAAGATATATAAACCCTTTTGCTAGCAGTAAATGCACGTTGAACTGTCTTTGCATCACTTTGTCGTTTTGTTTCTGATGCCTTCAGCTTATTAATCTCCACTTCAGCAGAGGAGCCCTCTCTGGAGTTTAAATCTTAATCTCAGATAATCACATAACTCAAAGTAGAACAATGATAAACTGCACAGTAAAGTTCCAACCTTTTATAATGTACACTCCATCCTCCTTCACCATCTAAGGATAAAACCACATCATGAAATGCAACTAATGCTGGACGATGTGATATGGTAATGCATGATGTTCCCATTGCCCTAACTTTAGCACAAAACCGTTCTTCCATATCAGTAGTCACAGCACTTGTGCACTCATCTAGAATTGCAAATTTAGGCTTATGGTAGAAAAGTCTTGCCATGCCCAATCTCTGTTGCTCACCCAATGAAAGTTCCTCACCCCAGTTTACCTCCTTTTCAGGAGGGTAACGATCCAATAGGTATTCAAGGTCAACCTTGGTACATACACATAAGTTCCATAAACAATAACATCAACATAATTATCAAATAAACTGCAAGCTACACATTTATGTGAAATTGAGAAAGACACGGGATTAGATGCAGACGTTACATTTTTTAGCAGCTCCACCATCCCATGATCTGTGAGTGATTTGACCTCTTGATCTGTAGTAAGAGGATAAATCAACTGATCTCGAAGTGTTCCTACAGCAGTATATGGCCTTTGGGGCACATAGAAAATTTCCTTATTAAGATCAGAGCCAATTCCAGGTTTCACAATATGTCCAGATATCAACGGCCAAAGGCCACCTAGAACCCGGAAAAGAGAGCTTTTGCCACTGCCATTTGGACCTTCAGCCAAAGAAGCATTAGTACAAATCACAGTTTTAAAATGATTATGCCAACACAGAAATAGATAATAAATAACATCAATTTTCAATGCTAAATCAAGCCCAAGAAAATAAATAAAAATAGAAATGGAGTGTTAGCAACACACTCCTCTATTAATTGAAATTTATTAAAAAATTACAATATAGAGACAGAAACTCATTAAATGGAAAGTAGGACTCCTACAATTTGTGATTTTAATGAATTTCAACCAGTGATAGAGACTAGAGTGTGTGTTCAAAAGAATGTTTATGTAAGTAGCATCTCTCTAGATAGAAAGGCCGGTATTGAAAGAGAGGGTTCAGATACCTGTAATCAAAAGATTTGATCCTGATTCAACCCTAAGAGTCAGATCATCCACCAAGACATTACCAGTGGGGGTCACAACCTGAATTTGGGTGCAACATCACTAATAAATCATGAAAAAATATTCAAGGATGATAGATAGTTGGGAAGATTTGACTTACGCTGACACCATCAAATTCAATGTAGTTAGCTTCACTAATGCAATTTCTACTTGCTTTTCTTTGAAGGGAGGATTTCTCATCCACCAAACTTAGGTCCCTTGATACAGCCATTAATTCATAAATGCGATCAGCATATCCACTGTAATACATTCATTAAGTCAGAACATGTAGACATAGAAAATGGATCTTACACAGATATTGCATATAATGCATGCAATAAAAGCCTCTCATCAACATTCAAAAACAACTGAAATGAATGATGTAACAGACCTGAGACGATTGAGCCGTCTTGCACTGATAGAAAGAGTTCCTAGAGACTGAAATAAGGAGATTATGACACTAGTATGATATCTAAGATTGCTTAACATCTCCGCACGCCCTAAAGTTGAACTGTCGGGCCTTAAATGACCAGAAAAGAAAGGTTCAATAATCAAAATAACAGCAACAGTAGCACCAAGATACTTCAATAATAAGTCCTGAATCATGCCAAACCACCAATGGTCATGTAGCACACTATGCACATGCCCGACCAAGGTTTTAAACTTCTGTTGAATATGAGCTTCTTCTTTCCTCTCTCCACCATAGAATGCTATGCTTTCTGAGTGAGTCCTCAATCGTGAGTGAAGCTGTCGATACTCTCCTTCCAATTGCTGCTCTTTGGACATAAGTTTTCCAAATGAAGGAGAGAAGTTTCTGATTGCAGCACCAGCTACAAGTACATATGCCTGAAAAAGCGCTGATTCTAATTACATATCAAAGATTCCAAACATTCAAAATGTATGAATAGAAGTGGCTACTCAGAAATTACAAAACAAAATAATTCAAATAAAGAAATACCAATATCCAGAAGACATATTTTGGGCTAGCATATGAACACAAACGCCAAGTATATAGAAGTCCATCAGTAACTGCTGTGAGATCATCTTGTACAATTTCACTCAACTCTGAACAGAACCTTGGCACATCACTGGCAATTCTTTGCTCTGGGTTAGTTATCCGACCATCAACATGTGATATTTTGTAATACACCATGTTCTGAAAGCAAAACATACGATAAACATAAAGCATCAGAGGAACTAACTAGTGGTTAATGCATTTTTTAGGGTTTATTCAGCCAATTGTGAGAATAATCTTCTCATACGATATATAAGTACTGGAGTCAGCATTGCATACTTGGATTTCTAAAAAACCTTTTGGATAATTATTCTACTTTGAGAGGAAAATAGTTGGTCAAAGAACATTCTCAAGTAACTTCCACTTAATACAAGGAGATCTGGAAAAGCATCCCGAATGGTCCAGGGCAGGAGCCGCCCAAGATCCACAAAATAGCCATCAGGATCATCAGAACTTTGACCTTCTGTTTTACTTACATCTTTATTAAGTTTAAATTCATGTACCAAGAAAATTAACAGTACATAACCAACTATGATCCATATTTTTTAAACAATAGAAGGTACCATCAGGCAAATTCTGAAATTATTGTAAAGTGAATTTTCAAACATTGCAAGCTGATGGGAAAACAGACTTGGCACATAGACGTGTAAAACAGAAGAACAAAACCTAAGAGAAACAACAAAGGCAGGAGGACAATAGTCGACTATTAAACACTTAAGACAGTAGGGACAAGGAACATATATAATGATTAATAGTTCAATATAGATAATCTAAAATAGACTTAAATGACACGCAATTTAACAATTTATACCTTAAAATAGTGGGAATGGATAAGCTTTGTCAATATTTTTCTGAAATGTAAACTCAAAGTCCCTGTTACGTACTTTGATGTAGAATGAATGGTTGACAAAAGGAAACACAAAAGAATATTTTCTGAAATTAGCCGAAGAAACAATGGTACACGTCGAAGAAAAGCAGCACGAAATAGGAAGCCTTGCACTTTAGCTAGCCTGTTGCTCAAAGCAGTTCGCAACACCTGCAAATACATGCAATTTCAAAAGTCATTAATTTTAACCTCTAGGCCATTTATTTCTTTGGAGAGAAAGTGTTCAACCAATATATCTCATTTTTGTACAGCTTCTGATATCCATATACCTTTTTGTATACAAAATTAATCAGTCTCTCATGGTTTTGACAAACAAATAAAAGTGTTTCATCTTTATTTTTCTCCACAATTTCATTTAAGCACACATATTCCTACGGTAGGCAAGTGTAAAATGCTTTCTTACACAGTCTGAACAAGCCCGTATCTTATATTATACACATAAGCAGTAATAAAGTCAAACATACGTGTATTTAAGATCAAAACCAAGGCCTGTGTTTTTATCAAAACTTCAAGCACGCTATAATACAAATACTCTGTTTTTCCTTCCAGACCATGTAGCTATCACTGGGCATAGCAGAGGTAAAGAAACTAGGGAGGTTTGTCATGCCATACGCATAAAAGAATGCAGTGGAAGTTGATAGTTTTTTCTTTATCTTCTCTTAATGAGGGCTATTTTTATATATGAAAAAGTTATAACTATTTCATTGTATATATAACTTCTTTTAATAAGCAAATAATAACTTTTTTAATTTTCCAGCCAACAGTCTACACTTTCATGAAACACTTCACTTCAAATCCAATATAAGAAAGAGAAAAATGACACAAAGATCTTCAACAAAAGTTCACATTGCATCTAAGATGACAACCCAGTCCATATAATTACATACAGCACATTCAAATCCTGTTAATGCTGAGTTGCAGCAGGAGAATCTGAACCATATCTACCCATTCAAGGTGTGCACAACAGCACACTTCACATTTGACCCCAAAAATGAATGACATCAACAAACTATTTGGTTTTATTGATCTCTTTCACCAGTATAATGAGTATATCTTGCATAGGGTGAGCACTAACTCAGGACTAGATTCGATGATTTTAAACATAAATAGATGTCATAAAATACCATGATGAATACTGAAATATATATGTATTAAATTATGCCTCGTTTTTAAAAATCGAAGGCATGCAGGAAACATAATCATCAACAACTAAACAGACTTACCGCTATGGCAACTAAACCTAAAAGATCCCTTGCACCTAATTTGCCCATGTCAGATAGTAGAATTGAAGCAAGGAGTTGGAGTGACTTCAACCCTTTCTTTTGTTTATTTTTTGATGCATTAACACCCCTCCCAACCTCCTCCTCTGTGACTTCTCTATCATTGTTGTGCCCATTGCAATGGCCAAATAAATCAGGTTGATTAACTCTAAACCTTGATTGCATATATGCAGCTGTTCCACCAGCAATTAAGATACCAGATGCAAGTAATAAAGTTTTCCTGTCATCAACCCCATGGAGAAAGGATCAACAATATAACAGTATATATGCAAATTAGTTCAACAACAATAGATTTTAGTTGTATCAGTCAGCAATCAAAGGATGGTGTATTATGAGTACAAGATACAATTGCTAATACAGGGTTATGAACAAAGCAAAACAAACAGTTCTCAAATAAAATGCATAACAGTAATGTTAAAATCAAGAAGAATAATACAACATTTTATGCAATGTCAATCATCCCAACATAACATCCCTTGCCTTAAAAACTATTGGAATCGTAGAAAACCAAAGTTTCAGATCAAGTATAAAAATTTGTACAAATGGTTCTGCCAAGACAGACTTGTCTCCTTCCTGGGTACTACTCATTGTAATTAGGTCTCCTAAGTTTACATTTCGCAATGCAAATCATACCTGCTGATTTGCAAGCTTTATTGGTCCCAATTCTAATGGCACTCCAGACAAATATAGAGAGGAATATTTTACAATTTGGGAAAATATAGATATATCATAAAGAAATGTTGGAAAAAACAGAAAGACAAGAAGATTGAATAGAAAATACTAACCACATTTATTAACTACAACAAATAGTTTTGACAAATAGTAAGTTAGAAGGTGTAAAATATGGGGGAATTGGAAACCAAAATCGGCAGTTACCTTTATTATTGTTATAGATTAATGGTATGGATTACCAATTTCTAAGAGTTTAAACTAAATTAGCATGAGAAGTCTCAAAATTGTTGCATGGGCATTTTGTAATGGTATATATAAGCATTATCTCATCCGGTCTCTGTACTTTTAGATGAAACAGACATCAGTGTTTAGTACTGCAGAAATTCCCTCACACAAATCATGATTTTTATCATTATGTACTCAATTTCAGATAATGAGATTTATGGAAGTGGGTAGGCGAGGGGAGGAGTATACAACCAGGTGTGAAACATGTATTCTTCAAAACTTACCTAGGAATAGCTGATAAAAGAATAAAATTGATATTTAGGTCAACAAGCAATCAATTTGAGTCAAATGGTAAGTCAAATTCAATGCTATGTATGAAATTAGAATCACCAGAAAATACAAAAACAGACCAATACCTCCTTGAAGCCAGAAACTTTTGCCCATGCCGAAGTTGCAACAGTTGAAGAGAAGACATTGTAAACGATCAACCTTTCCCGTGTCAAAAAATCAATGCGTTGTGGGCCTGTAGTTGCTCCTCTTATGGTCAGGAGCAAGAAAATCTAACAACATTGAATTTCATACAGAAATAATAGATCAGCAGCCAGAATGCTTTAGGCTCACCATGCTTCTCACATTAATGAGGATTCCAAAGACAAGTCAAACAATTTGAACATAATGTTTAGGTGTAAAAAACTGTGGAGAACTTTGTCCTAAGAAAGGTTAAACAAAATGATGACCTGAACTAATCAAAAGTTTAATCCAATACTTACAGCTCTGAAACTAGATGCAAGCTATTTCTTGAGACTTAATAGCATTTATGAACACTTTAAGGCCGAGACAAATAAATTAGGGTTTGTGGATGCATCAAAAAACCTCAAATGTGAAAACTTAGCAAAGCAGAGATGATGTACAAACAAATTTCTGGAAAATAAAAATTATCTTTATTCCCTTTCCCCTTGTATTGTTTATTTCTTGGCAGGAACCAGTTTTCCATCATTACAAGTATGATCACATATAAATCTGCAAATGAAAGCCATATAATCTGCAAAAGGGATTGGAACTTTTTATCTTCTCATCAACCATTTGCACTTACAGATTACCCACTGAGCAGACACATGATCAAAACAGTTTTTCAAAATAAAATGAAAAACAATGCAAAAGTAAAATATAGTTGATGACCATATATTCAGCACATTGTCCCAATCTGAAACACACGAAACAACTGATAATATACCTAATCAAAAACCTTAACTCAGAGCTCAATTAAAGTTAAAGCAAACATGCCACTAAAGATACAAACAGTAGAAATAGTACATTTGCCCATCAAACTAGTTAACCAATGAGACATGAGTCTTCTTAAAAGTTGCCTAATTGGGAGTATGTCCAAATACTAGTAATCAATGGTTACACATTATATATATCAAATGCTCACTTATTGCTCAAGTACACAAGTCAGTCCATGTAAAATACATAGGTGGGATGTTCAGGTTTTAAAAGTGATGCCAAGCATGTCATAATATATATAAAAAAAAAAAAAATATAAAAAAAAATAAAAAAAAATTCCATGTAAAATACTAAGCTCTGTCACTTTTGATTTGCTACTACTTCACTCCTTCAAAAACGTGTGCCTTCTTTAAATATTCCCAACGATTTTGAATAACTTATTGTTTCTATTTTGATACTTCTATATGAAATCCTGTTGTATCCATACCCAAGTTTTTTATTAGTAATGTACCCCTACGCATAAATTATTTATACCACCAAATGCAGATTGTAGAACTTAAGCCGAGGCGTAAATCATGCAGAAACAAAAATATTAACCAACAACGCACTAGTATTACTTAAGTAGTAGAAGAAAGGCGAGAGAGGTGGCTAACATTGAAAGGTGAATAACATTAACCATGCTCCATCAAGTCGAAAGCATGGTGAGAGAGCTTACTCCTCTCTACAGCATAGATAGCACCGATTGTTGTAAAAGTGGATATTAGAACTCAGCAACGATCAGAATCTGCAACGAAACCTCAATAACAATTACCAAGTCGATCATCAAACGATAACAAAGCAGATTCATCGAATTCACTCGTGGTGCAGAGTGTGTGAAGCAGTGAATTCAGCAAAATAGGGGACATTGGAACAATACCTGTTGATTAATTTAGTTGAAAAGTGAGTAACGTGTGTGGAGATTGAAAAAAAAAAAAGAGAAGAAAAAAGGAAGAGGAAGAGGTTGAGAAAAAACAAAAAGGGAGGGACTTGGGAAGATATATTGTAATCTGTGTGAGATGAGATTGATGCATTGCAAGAGAAGAGAAGAAAATGAGATGAGTTTTGCTTAGCGCGGTATGGTCTGTGATCGGGTCGGGTCCTTCATTTCGGTGGAATCGAAATACGGAGTATCTGAAAATCAACGCTAAGGGTTTTAGATAGGAATCATAGCTTACAATATGACACCCACGCCAATTTTGTTTTCAATATATTAATATTCTCTCCCCCTCTCTCTCTCTCTCTCTCTCTCTCTCTCTCTCTCTCTCTCTCTCTCTCTATATATATATATACTACTATATATATATATATATATATATATATATATGTGTGTGTTTGTGCACGAAACTATACAATTTTTTGTGTTTTTTTTTTTACATAAGGTTATTGTGTACGTCTTTCCAAATAGATTATGTTTCATCATACTTATCATGTTTATAACAAAGTTAAATGTACTAAATGTGGATAAATATCTTGACAAAAGATCTTCATTTGCTTAAAAATATATTAGTTTATTAAGATAAAAGATGCAAAATAACAAGAGTCTTCCTTACTTCAATCTAATTGCATAATTTATTTGTTGTTATTAAAATAAAAAAGATTTTTATATGTATATGAACAGGAAAGTCTCTATTTGTTTCTATTCATTTATGGTGGACAAAATTTTTTAAATATTAATGTTTTTCTTTGCATGGAAATGTAAATATAGCAGGGTACATGCCACGTCTTTGATTCATCTACTCTTTGCGTACCTAGATCTGTGGAGAAAATCAAGTGGTTAGCCAATTTTTTGGCGTTCTAAGATTACAAATTTTGTTTTATTTTGTTATATTAAATATCTTAAATATATATAATATTATATTATTAAATTAGAATCTCAATTTTTTAAAATATTCTTTTAATGTATTAATAATCTCTTACAAATCTTTTTAATTTATTAAAAAAAACAAAATTTTAAATAATTAAAATTAATCATAATTAATTTATAAAAATGATAATTTTATTGATAATATTTTTTAATATAATTAATCATAATTAATTCGTAGATATTATAATTTAAATTTTATCTATAATATATATTTTCTCTCAAATTTGTGTACAAAGATTTTGAATGTCCAGTTTACATAGAAATAAGTTTTTTCCTGCTGTAAATAATAGGTAGTACGGTTGGATCATGGAGTTCATATCACATTAATTACATGTTCTAAAATTAATTGAAATATATGACTTATAACAATCATGAAAGTTATAATCAATAATACGAGTAAGTATATAATAGATGATTATGTACCAGAAAAATAAAGTGTCTTTTGATTTTATTTTTTATTTTTTAACCGTATACACAATTTCTATTTATGTTATTTTAGCACCTAATCTTATATAATATAGGAAGTATACACTATAGATGTTTTATTTTATGTAATCAATGTTATTGTTATATCATGAATATGTTAGTAAAAATAGGTTTTTAATTTTTGTTTTCTAGGATTTAGAATTTATGTTTTTTTTAAACAGGTGAATAGAGATTGATTAGGTCAATAATCTATAAAATTTATTATCAGGGTTTAAAATTTATTATTCGTTATGTATTTTTGAAATTGGGAAATTTTTGTACTTAGGATTAGGAGTTAATTTATTTAATTTTACAAATTATAGCAACGTTAGGGATTTTTTTAGACTGATACGTGGAAAAAAAACTGGTACATGGTTTGTAATAAATCATTTAAATAATAAATAATAAATAAATATTATTTTTTTATTTTATTAAAATAATTATTTTAAATTTAATCAATTTTCAATTTTAATTTATATCTATTCTAATTATTTTTAATTAAGAATATTTTGATAATTTATTATATTATCTAATAATAATATATTTGATTACGTAATCAATGATTTTATAAAAAATTGAAATTAATTATAAATCATATTGATTTTTATAATAAATGGTTGTTATTAAACTGGATTTTTATTTTTTTTATAAGGGAAGATCTCTAATAAAATCCAACTGAGGAAACTCTCTTATGAAAATACGTGGTTCTTCAATAACTTATATGTTCTTTTTCTTGTTTTTCTTCACTCGTTGATCCTTATCTTTGTCCACATTCATTTTTAAGCACTGTTTCACCTAACTATCTGAAATACGTAATGGCGAGTCACTCACACAACAACCAAATATAAATAAAGACCATCATTAACAATTTTTGTAAGAAGTTAGTTATTTGTTAAAAGTTAGCTGTTTTCACTTCAATTTTCAAAAATTTAAAGAACATGGTATCGTCGTTTAATTGAAAAAAAAAAATACATAAATTTTATGTCAATATCCAATCTTTCACTTTAACAATCTCGAACAAATTACAGTTTTGATTACATTCTCGTTGAAATTGATTAAAGAATATTAAATATATTTGTTCGATGTTTTGACTTCATCGTTTTTATATAATAATTATTTTATTTTATTTTATTATATATTTGAAAAAGTCAACAAATTAACACAAGCTTTGCCAAAAGTAGATAAAACGGGAATTATATTCCATGTATTTTATTTTTAATATATACTGTAAGAATAGATAAAAATATAAACAAGAAAAAAATTGGACCATTACATGATATTATAGGTCATTTAATCTCAAATTAACATTGATAACAGCTAAACTGTGAAATTCATTTTAAATTAATTAACAATGTAATTTTTTGTACACAGAAAATGCATACCTATTAAATTCTTAGTATATTCCAAAATCCTTGTTGGTTTAGTATAAACTAGCATTTTGTCGTTTTATTTAAGTTAACATAAATAAAAGAAAAACTTAACTATTTTTTCTTACCTTGAAGATGAAAAGTTATTGGATTTTAGAGGTATAAATAGGAACGATTAGATATTGTTTAGATATAGTTTGATATTGTTAAGATATTGTTAACTACAATATATGAATAGTTATTGGATTTTAGAGGTATAAATAGGAATGATTAGATATTGTTTAGATATAGTTTGATATTGTTAAGATATTGTTAACTACAATATATGAATGAACATACAAATATTAACATAAATAAAAGGGATTAATAAAAAAAATTGAATGGATGACTAGAAACACCAAAATACACAAAGAATTAGTAACGAATATTTCTTTTTTAAAATATTCAAAAGAGTATTTATGTATCATAGAAAAAGAATAGTAATTGGGACTTTAAGTTGGTAGAAAAAATAAGGTAGTACTCTCCACAATTCCGATCTAGAGTATACTTGCATCCATTGATTCAATAAATAACTATCAGGAACGAACTAATCCTTTAATTTTTTGAAGTGCGATTTTCTTTCTTCTATTTATTCTGTTTCTTTTCGGTTACTCTTTTAGTTGTACCTCTCTATTATAAATAGATTACCCTATGTGTGATTTATACACAAGGGAGATTAATTTCAAACCCTATTTCCTCTATATTCAACATGATATCTAAAACTTAAGGTTATATTGAAATTTTTTTCGTCTTGTGTCCACTGTTGGAGTCGTTTCACCGCTGCTAGTAAACTGATCCACCACATCAGACAAGAATTATCTTTGTTACTGAATTTTATTTGGTAGTGTGAAAGTGCATGTCTAGGAAAGTTCTGGCAAGGAAATACTTAGTATTTAACTGTGTCCATTAGTGACTCACCTCTCTTTCTTGGGGACTTACCTGGTGTATTGGTTCACGTTGTTGTCACTACTGCCGTTGGAGCAGTCACCATATCCGCCGCTGCCGGAGAATTCATCGGAGTTTCATTTTTTTGACCGGTGACATATGATTTTGCTTGTCTCGATCAGGTGACCACCGTGCCGTTGAGATCACCACTATCGGAGTTGGTCATCTCATTGTCTCTTACGTCGTTTAGTCTTGACGAACTTATTTTTAGTATTCTCATTTTGGATTTGTGCTTTGTGGGTTGATTGGATTACTTTGGATTATTTTAGGGTTTGTTCTCCCGCTCTTCATGACTTCTTCCACTTTTTCTACTATTTTCAATTTTGTTAATGATTCTTTTGTATTGACATCCCATCGTGATGATCGGACTTGCCCTCGCAAATAGGGAAAAGGGCGTCCTAAGTGTGACCATTGTGGCAAGCTAGGTCACAAGATTAACAAGTGTTATGCATTACATGGTCGTCCTCCTCGATCTGCTATAATTGTTCAGACCAATCTTTCCCCACCTTTATTTGTTGGGGTTCCTTCTTCTTTTGTTACATCCGACATGCCTGCTATGTTTAACAAATTTCTCAAATGGTATAAGGATCAACAGTCTTATAGTTCCACTATATCTGTCACACATACAAATATATATTTTGCTGGTCTGACCCAATCCTTTTCTCCTGGTCCTTGGGTTTTTGATTCAGGAGTCACTGATCATATTACTGGTAACAAATCTTTGTTCTCCTCTTTATCCTCTCCTAATAATTTACCTTCTGTTACACCGGCTAATGGCTCTACAGCATCATCTCATGGTGTTAGAACGATTAAACTTTTTCCTTCTTTAACCATTAATAATGTTTTTTATGTCTCTGGGTCTCCTTTTAACCTATTGTCCATAAATCGTCTAACTCGTTCTCTTGATTGTGTTATTATTTTTACCAACAATTTTGTGTGTTTACAGGACCGGAGTTCGAAATAGGTGATTGACACAGGATGTGAGTCTCATGGTCTTTATTATCTCCGTCCCTCTACACATGTTAGTACAGTTATGGAGTTATCTCCCTCTCTTCTTCATGCTCAGTTAGGTCATCCAAGTCTTATCAAGTTACAGAAGTTTGTCCCTGTCTTGTCCAACGTATCTAGTTTGGCATGTGAGTCATGTCAATTAGACAAGCATAGTTGTACTTCCTTTCCTCGTAGTTTCGCACGTGGTGTTTCGTCCCCTTTTGTCGTGGTTCACTCTGACATTTGGGGACCTAGCCGTGTTAAGTCTACTTTAGGTTTTCAATACTTTGTTACTTTCATTGATGATTATTCCAGATGCACTTGGTTATTTTTGATGAAAAATCGTTCTAAATTATTTCATATCTTTCAAACTTTTTTTAATGAAATTCAAACTCAGTTTGATGTTTCTATTAGAGTTTTGCGTAATGATAATAATGTTAAGTGGTAAAAAGTTGATATAATTATGCCTTGAATTTTTATGAAACCACTTAATCTATGTTAATTCTAATATATTTTTCTCCCAATATAAGATGAATTTGAGAATACCTTGATACAAGAGTAAGGAGCATAATTGTCAGCATAATTGGAGTAAAACAGGAAGAAGGAAGAAGATTTTCAGCATGGAAGTCGTTCGAGCGGGATGGATTCTCGCTTGAGCGAATATCAGTTATTCTTCTCTGGAAGTCAGTCGCTCAAGCGCAAGGAAATTCGCTTGAGCAAATGTTAGTTATTCTTATCTGGAGTTCACTCGCTCAAGCGATCGTTTTGTCGCTTAAGCAAAAATAGGCAACTTTCGCTTGAGTGAAAGGTGTCGCTTGAGCGAAAGACGCGAAACCCAAAAGTCCAATTTTTCCTATAAAAAGAGAAGATGTGTTTTGAGAAAAGGAAGCAGTTTTGGAGAAGAGGAGGCGTGACTACTGCTAGGGTTTCGTCCAATCTTCATCAATTCTTCACTTCTTCCATATTTGGAGCATTGTAATGGCCAACATGAGTGACTAACTTCATTCTCTTAGGATTTGATGCACTTCTTTTGAACTCTTTTGTATCATGGTGATATTTTGAGATATTAATCTATGTTTTGATGTTGTTATTCTTATCATTTATGCTTTAGAATTATTTATTCTTGATGTTTGGGGTATGATTGGAAAATATATCTTGAACCCTAGATCACAGTAAGAATATTTGTTACGTTAATTGCTAGGAATGGAATGAATGTATCAATTGCTTAACACCCTAAACCTAATGCTGGAAAATATCTTAATTGTGTGAGGAATCAACATTTATTAGGTTTTCTTATGAATTTCATGTGTGAGGAATCAACATGGATGACTTGAGTAGGTGACATCAACATTGTTAGGAAAATTGACGTTCTTAATTGACATAGTCATTACAAAAGAGAGATAAGGAAGGAAGTCAATCCTAAGTGCCTTTAATTGATATTTTCCCAACAATTTACAGTTCTTTGTCATTTAATTTCAATTCAACTTTTTATACAAAATCCATTATGTTTTAATCTACTTAGTAAGCATATAATTGAGAATTTCCATTGAAACCGTTCCTCGTGGGATCCACTTTTATTTAATCGAAATACTATACTACGATTGATAATTTTGGTACGTTTGCCAATAATTCAACAAGTATTTCTGGCGTCGTTGCCAGAGAACGGTGTTCTTTGAAAATTATTTGTTTAGCTTATTTAGTATTTTATTTTTATTTTTATTTTTTGCTTTATTTTTCAGTTTTATTTTGCTCAATTATTGTTTTGTGTTAATCTTTGCTTGAGTTACTCTTTTGATTTATGCGTTTAAGAGGGCATATATCTTCAGAGCAATTAGAATATAATCCGGAGATTGAAAAAACCGTTCGGAGAAACCGGGGTAGAAGAAGGGAAACTCAAGAATAAGCCATAGGAGAATCATTTAACTCTTCTTCCACACTTAATTTACCAGACCCAATTATTGAAGATATGGCAGAAGACGGAGAAAATTTGAATCCAAATCCAAATTCAAATCCAAATCAAAATCCAGATTCAAATCCACCTAGAAGAACTCTCAGAAACTATGTTATGCAGCAAGGTCCAAGACACTTTCCAGCATTGCCTACCGGATGATCAAACATTGCAGATGAGTCCAGCTTTCTTAAGCTTGATTAGTGCTCATCAATTCACTAGACTGGATCATGAAGACCCTTAGATTCATTTGTCTACTTTTTTTGAGTTGATTGGTACCATGAGATTTAGAGCAGCAAATCTTGAATCTGCATATTTGAGATTATTTCCTTTTTCTTTGGCAGGTAGGGCAAAGGAGTGGTTGAAGGCACATCCTAATCAGAGTTTGACTAATTAGAGTAGCGTAGAAGATAAGTTTCTGAACAAATTTTTCCCACCATCCTGCTACATCAAAGCAAAATCAGGCATAACTTCTTTCAGATAAGGAACAGATGAATCTTTTTGTGAAGCATGGGAGAAATTTAAATCACTGTTGAGAAGATGCCCAAATTATGGATTTGATGACATTGCTCAGTTGAATATTTTCTATACTGGCTTGCGACATGATACAAAGATGTTATTAGAGGCTGCAGCAAGAGGATCCATGTTGGATGTAGAAATTGAACAAACCACAAGAATTATTGATGCACTAGATTTTACAGACCAACAGGCCCAACATGATAGACATCCAGCTCAAAGAAAAGGAGTACTTGAACTTAGCACCTCAGATGCTATCTTAGCCCAGAATAAACTTATAACCCAACAAATTGAAGCATTGAACCAGAAAATAGAGAAATTACCTCAACAAATGCATACAATACAATTCATTCCTAATCAACAGATGAGTTATGACGTGTGTGGAGGTGATCATTCAAATGAACAATACTCTTATCAAGGCAACATTCAACAAGAAGAAGCTAATTATATGGGTGCTCAAGGTAGTAGTCAAGGCAGACAAGGTAATTTTTCTAATCCCAATAATTATCAGAATAATTTTGCGCAAGAATGGAGAGATGGAACCAAGGTGTTAGCTCATCTACTAGACAACCTACATTTCAACAACAGTCATATCAGCAACCTCCATATCATCAGCAACAACATTATTCTTCAATTCCTGATAGATGAGTAAATTGGAGGATACTTTAGAAAAATTCATGCAAAGCACTATGGCTAATCAGAAAAATACTGAAGCTTCATTAAAAAGTATAGAGACCCAGATAGGTCAACTGACTAAGCAATTATCTGAGCAGCAACAAGGAGGACAATTTTCAGCTAACACACAAACCAACCTCAGGGAGCAATGCAATTCAATAACTACAAGGAGTGGTAAGGTTATAGGAGAAGGGATTGGTGAGAACCTGGCTATAGAGAAGGAAATCCTACAAGAAAAAGAGGATGAAAAGAAGAAAGATGAGTGTAAATGAGAAAAAGAGAAAAATAAAAGTGAGAGTGTAGAAAAAAAATATTGAAAAAGAAGAAAAAAATAAAAATAGTGAGAAAAAATGGAGAAAGATGAGTCAAATACCGCAATTAAAGGATTTACCATATCCTCGTCATCCTTCCAAAAAAGATAAAGAAAGACAGTTTGCAAGATTT